CGTTTGGTGAACGGCTCCAAATTTTCTTCAACGGAGAGTCTCCAGACTGATCTGCGAGGGAAACCTTGAAAGCTCGCGAGATCAGGATGGTCTCACGAGGCTACAAATTCACAACACATGTCATCCCAAGGCACTTAACAGTTCATAATTTCATATTTAAAGTACTTTCAGAAGTTTAAATTCTGAATATAACCAAATTTTTCTTTTAATTTAGTGTCAGCTTTCACTGCAAAAACTAACCTAAAAATAAATCTCTTAACATTATGGTTGGAAATGTTCAAAACTACCATTTTGGTTCCCAAACTATTAACTTTAAAATTTCGTTTGAAATTCGTTTTATTTTAATTTTTTTTTTTTTGCATCATTATTATTGAGAAACTGTTTAATTTAAAAGAGAAATCACCTGGAGACAATTTCTTCCTGAAATATAATTTGATTTTAATGTGCATTTTTTTTTTCTACCAAAAAACTACTTCCTAAAAGTTTATAGTTTAACTTTAAAGTCTTCTAAGTTTCTTTAGTACAAGGAGCCTCCTGTTGCATTCAGATGTAGAAGTCACACAGGCTCCCTGTGTTTTTTGTTTTTGTTTGTTTTTTTTAACTCATTTTCTCACCATCTGTGAGCGCTCTAGGCTAACTTTGTACTCTGCTTTGGTGCATCTTTTTTGCATTTTTGGCATAATACTTTTTTTTCCACTCACAATTGTTCAATATCCATAATATTGTAAAAGATTTTAAAGATCTGGTCAAGAAATTTCTACAAGAATGTTATGAAAAAATGTTGCTGCATGAGGTGATTTACAGAGTTTAAATTTAAACCAAAAACATTTCCAGATAAATATAGAACAGCTAATTTTAAAAAGTGCAGACTGAACAGTGTCTTAAAGACCGTCCTCCACGGCAGTCATAGCCAAACCACAGCTAAAGCAGCTAGCAACACTCTCTATAACACTTGGTCCTTCTGCAACGGTTCTGATCAGATCTGTTCCCCCTGAGCCTGACTAAAGAGACACATGTTGCTTCTGATTTGAGCCTCTCCTCCTTCACAGACTTTATCTGAGACACTCCCCTTTCAAAGTCTAGCACGCCCGTTTTCTCTGATGAATTCCTCTTAATATATTTATCTTGATATAGTTTTCTCTTTAACTGTAACTGTTGGTCATAAACACAAGATCCTGGTTGAAGAACAACAAACTTGCATTAAAAAAGTATGACTATAAATGTATAGCATCTCACAGTAAACAAAAGAGAATTATCTGATATGTCTTATCAATAATTTGATATTTATATTCTTGACATGTTGCCTAAATCTAATGGAAGTTAGTTATTCTTTTGACATGCATGGATTATTATTATTTTAGCTATTTGTTTTTTTGTTTGTGTTCTTTTGTAGCCGCAGCTTTAAGAAGTGAGCTCACACCATCCCAGTAATACCACCCCTGGTACTGGAACCACTTTAGTGAAAAAGTCTTTTGTAGAAAGGACAAAAATCTAAGAAAAACTGTTCTAATCAATTTGGTTTGCTGTTGGACTTTCGCCGAATTCTCAATAGATTTTAAAATGATAATTTATCATAAAAGTGATTGAGGTGAAGACTGCAGAACTTGATGCTAACAACATGTTTTCTAAAAGGATTCCTCAGAAAAGATTTTGTAAAATGTTTTAAGCCTGATGTCTGATGATCTGAAAACCCTTTGGGTTTAACCGTGCAGCTTTTTAATTTTTTATTTTTTAAGTGTTCTGATTCTGATAATCAATCTCTTGCAGGAACCAATCAAGTCTCGGGCGCCACAGTTGCATTTAGAATATCGCTTTTATAAACAACTAGGAAGTTCAGGTAAGGCATGTCTACTCTTTAAGAATTTTATGTAAGGACTTCATTCTGTATATATATATATATATATTTATATATGTGTATGTGTGTCTGTGTATGTATATATATCAGGGTTTCCGCGGGTCATTGAAATTAATTAAATTATTATTGTTTGAATTAAGGCCTTAAATGGCATTAAAATTCATTAAATGTGTTTATTGTGGCATTTAAAATGCTTTATTAAAAGATGTATATATATATATCACGATATATTTGCGTGGAACTGCTTCCGGTTGCTCGCAAAGCAGTATGTTCAGAAAAGAAACTCGAGTCGGAGAAAAAGCTAGAGAATGGGGGGAAAAAAGCAAATTTCAACAAAAATGTTTGGGAAACGAGGAATTTGAGACCTGATAGATATATAGATATATATATATATATATAGATATATATATATATATATATCTATATATATATATCTATATATATAGATTACCCCGAAACGATCTGGAAAACCACACAAGATCTTGTTGTTCTGCTGCGGCTGCTGATGAGCGGCTGAATAATGAGCTCTTGGGCAGTTTGCTGCCACCTATTGGCTGGAGGTTTAAATATTTTGTTAGTCAGAAAATAAAGTGAATGTTTGCCTAGAAATAAGTTTTACATTTAAGAGCCATTCTGCCATATTTTTAATCAATACTAACATCTAATAAAATGTGACAATATGGGTATTTTTTTTATCCATACAAATATAGCTTCATGAGATATTTCAATATTCAACAGTATTTTTTTCGGACTATTATTTATATTAATAGGAAATTATTAGAGATGGGCAAATACATGCAACTGCCGACTCACTTAACAGATGTTCCGCTGTTGCTTAAATTAAGAATTCATTTAAACATATACATTAAAATAAAGGCCTTAGAAAGACTGTCAATATATTTTAGATATATAATAATAAAAAAAAAAAACATAAAACATGGAACGTCAGTCAGAGATGACTGCTGAAACGAGGCATGTCCTTGTATAAAATTCTGACGGTACTGTTAAGCTTAAGAAATTGTGCTCTGATTGTGAGTATAATCTCTATAGTTACAGTTTAATTGGTCAATGGAAATGGTTTTTGGCACAGAGATGCGTTTCTTTGGATTTTCTGGACATTGGCAACTTTTTTTATTGGTCAAGAGCAAATGTTTGCACTTGGCTTGAAGTTATCTGTAAAACAAAGTTAGAAAAGAATGCAGTTTTTAAAACTAAATCTGAAAGAAAATGGAATAAGACTGAAAAATATCAAATCTATAAAAATAAAAAAATCTGAGAAAATAGTTTTTTTTGCAACCTTTTTTTTTACTTGTATTTTATTATTAAAAAAAATTTTAAATATTAGACATAACAATTTACAAAGAGCAGGTGGTTAGTAATCCTTAATATACATTGTCCATTTTTTCAAAATTTCCTATTTTGCTTGTTGCAGCCTTATTATAAAAGTGAGTCTTTTAATGCTGTGAATTTAATCTATGTCCATCCAACTCGAATACTTTTTTGATTAGGAGGTTTTTCAGTTTAATTTCTGGGGTTGCATTTGTTTTGTTTTTTATTTCCATGTACAGAACGTGTTATTTGGTTGCAGTAACAGTGAACCAAAATTCAAAATAAATAAATATTGCATTGTAATTTCATTCAATAGCATTGCTCTTTTCCCTATCCATAATTGTTTTTTGTTCTCTGTTTTTTTATGTTCCTGTATCTGTATTTTGTATTTTCATCTCTTTTTATTTATTTTTTGTATTATTTGTAAAGTGACCTTGAGTGTCAAGAAAGGCGCTGTTAAATAAAATGTATTATTATTATTATTATTATTATTTCCCATATTTCAATCCACATTAGTCTGTGGTTACAGCATTTGTCACTGACTGACGTTCTATGTAGTTTTATTGTTTTATTTTTTTAAAGAAACGTGGCTTTTTAAAGAAACGTTTCTATAATTATAATTATAATATTAAAGAATTTGGCCATATTGTCCAGCCTGAGTAAATTTGATTTCTTTGTTTTTTATGACTTTGGATTTGCTTAGTTGTTAGGATTTTTATTCATGTATAAATTTACTGGGTATGTTTATTGTTGAGTTGGGTTTTGTTTAAAAACGGTTCATTTCCTGCTTTTTTCTGTCACTAATTCAGGATAAACTGGTTATTAAAGGCACCTGGTTCCTCTCATTGGGGGAAAGTATAGAAAAATAAGGCTACTTCTAAAAAATGTATTTTTTTGTTACTTATTTTTTATTTGTCTTTTATCCCCATTACATTTTTAGCAGTTTAAAGCTGCCAGTCTTCTAATAAAATTGGTTTTAAACCCCTGATTCATTGATTTGTTGTCCTTTCTTCCTCTCCTGATCCTCCAGATGGTGTACCTCAGGTGTTTTACTTTGGACCATGTGGTAAATATAACGCCATGGTTCTGGAGCTGCTTGGACCCAGCTTAGAAGACCTGTTTGACCTCTGCGACAGGACTTTCTCTCTAAAAACTGTACTCATGATAGCCATACAGCTGGTAAGACATTTTAAAGCTAATAAAACCAAAACTTTCTCGCTTTAAGTTCTTCTAATGTCATCTTGTGCTTCAGATAACCCGCATGGAGTTCGTCCACACCCGAAGCCTCATCTATCGCGACGTAAAGCCTGAGAACTTCCTTGTGGGCCGACCCGGCTCTAAACGGCAACACACCATCCACATCATAGACTTTGGCCTCGCAAAGGAGTACATAGACCCTGAGACGAAGAAGCATATCCCATACAGAGAACACAAGAGTCTGACTGGAACTGCCAGATACATGAGCATCAATACACATTTGGGGAAAGGTGAGTGATTCCTAAAGGATCATGATGGCAGGTCGGATTTATCGTATTTGGTTTTCTTAAAAAGGAAATCCTGCTTCTCCCTGCGTTGCGAAAGCAAACCAGATTAAGCCGACAGGTTGGGCTTCGGTTCAGAATTTCATGCCAGATGGGTAGAGGAATGGATCTCTTTCACTAGGTAGTATTTTGGTTGTTATTTATTTATTTTATTTATTTATTTTGTTTTCACAACAAAAACAGAATGTTTCAACTGCCGAAAAACCCTCAAGGGGCTTAATCAGTGGCAGTCTCCATAAAAACAAATATATTTCACCATTTCAGACATCTATATGATATTGTGTAAAAAAAAACAAAAAAAAAACAAAACAAAATTTCTTTGTATAAAACAATTTAAAATATAATTTAGACCACAAATCCATATGGAAAATTCAGAATACTTAGTAGCAGCAATTTTAGTCTCCGTTTAAATTGTTCTTTAGAAGATCTGTCAGTGATGTGGGAAGACTGTAGCCTCGTGAGACCATCCTGATCTCGCGAGCTTTCAAGGTTTCACTCGCTAATCAGTCTGGAGACTCTCCGTTGAAGAAAATTTGGAGCCGTTGACCAAACGAACGTCCAATCAGCGTTGGCTTTGAGGCGGGTTGAGGTGTGACGCAACGAGAAGCGCGACAGTTCAGTCTAAAGAACATGGCGGCTTCAGCCGATGAAACTAGCGTTAGCAAGTTTTATGGGAATTACAAAGTATTTCTTCACTGAAAGAAGAGCAAAACACTGCTCTGGAGGCTTTTCTCAGAGGAAAAGATGTTTTTGCTCTTCTCCCGACTGGTTTCGGCAAGAGAAGCCTGGCTTGTGGTTGTGTTTTCGTCGTCGCTCTGTTAGTACGTCATATGCTTCGTTGATCTGATTGGTTTATTTGGCCCGTCTATCACCAACATAGGCCAATCAGCTAACCAGTATTTTCGCCCCTTCCCAAAATTACTTCAACGGAAGGTTTCCAGATGGATATGCGGAGCAAATCCATCTGGCAGAGTCAGGTTAGGAAGACTGTTCCATATTCTTGATCCTCTGTATAAAACACTAAACTGTGTTTGAGTTGTACGAGAGTAAGGAGGCCTGATAAGACAAGTACTACTAGTTGGATACTGGTGAAATTAATTATTAAAAGTAAAAATATTACAAAAGTGCTGGGGAAGTAACTTTTTTATAAAGCTATAAACGAATAAAGCTATTTGAAGTTGATTCACTTGATAAACACTAAGAATATTTGCCTGAGCAAACAGTGGTTGGGAGGGATGTCTACGATTTACACAAAACATTAGTCTTAAAGCTCGCTTCTGAAGTCGAAAAACGGATTCAAGTTTATTAGGGTAAGCAACATTACAGTAATTATTCTGTTGGCGGTGCAAAGCTGGAGGCAGAAAGGTTCCCTTCTGCACTTTAATGACAGTTTCTAGCAAGTCTGGATTTTTTTGTTTTGTTTTTTAACAGCTGTAGATTTTTGTTTTCTTTTCTAATTGAAAGATTATTCAATTTCCAGCAGTGGGATAGTTATTTAAATATGGAAAAAAGTTTTTTGTTTTGTCACATTATTGTTGCAAGAAAAGAAAATGTTTTTATAATTGGGGGGGAAAATTATAATAAAGAAATACAGAATGTTTTTTCCTTTACCTTAGTTTTTAATTAAAAATAAAAAATGTATATGATTTTATATTTCTGTTTTATTTCTCGGCCAGGTTGATTTTTTTTTTACAAATAGTTTTCTTCTATTCAAGCCTCATAAGAAATGTTGCTAACATTCAGCAGACCAAAATAAATGTGTCTTCACTCCAGAGAAAGCCCTAGAAGTAAAGGATAAAATTTAAAAGCATTTTGAAAAGAAAGCAGTTCATAAAACTGAAAACATGTCATCTGAAAAAAAAAATTAAAATAAAAAATAAATAAAATTAAATGATAAAAAAAAAAATGCTCTCAAAATCGCCTTGCATTTCCATTTTTCCAAAACGGGTTCTTTGCTTGCAACAATAATGGATCAAGATTGACTGTTTTGTAGCTGCCCTACATCTGAAATTTTAAGTTGTGTATTATTAAGTCCAATGTTTGAAAATAAGCCCCGACTGGACTGCTTGGAGCAAACTAAACTGGTTTAAACCGGCTATGATCTGTTCGATCTTCTCCTGGGTTTATTTCTGGATCATTTCTTGCAGAGCAAAGCAGAAGGGATGACCTGGAAGCTTTAGGCCACATGTTTATGTACTTTCTGCGGGGCAGCCTGCCTTGGCAGGGACTCAAGGTAAGAAAACTACCAGTCAGTCATTTCCCGTCAAACCAAGTGGATCCTTCCTCTGAGTCATTTTGGCTCCTCCCCTCTCTCCCCTCAGGCCGACACTCTCAAGGAAAGATATCAGAAAATAGGAGACACAAAGCGGGACACGCCAATAGAAGTGCTCTGTGAGAACTTCCCAGGTTTGTGTTTCTAACACAAAAAACAACATGCTTACGGTGATCAAGTCTCATGCTCCACTGCTCAACTCTGTTGGTGAAATGCCCTTGCTTGTGTGTGTAACAGAAGAGATGGCCACCTACCTGCGATATGTGCGACGGCTGGACTTTTTTGAGAAGCCAGACTACGACTATCTGAGGAAACTCTTCACAGACCTCTTTGACAGGAACGGATACATCTTTGATTATCAGTACGACTGGACTGGAAAGCCACTGGTTAGTGATACGTTTGTTTGGTGTCCTTTTTACACAGAAGGTTTTCCTGCTGTGGTTTTATTCCAGATTTCCTGTATTTTGCTCTGAGTTCAGAGCATCTGGGATGCCTTGTGTTCTGGTTCTCTGATGGCCACCCATTGAAACTAATAAGAGAGCAAGAACTTTGCACTTGCAGCCGCTGTGGAAGTCTTTACATTTGTTTTTTTAGGTTTATTAGATATATATTGGCATTTTTATCTGTTGTCGATTCAACAACGGATAAAAACTTTCACATAACACTTGGCCCCTTCATCTAACCAATAAAAACATACCGTATTTTCCAGACCATAAGCCGCAAATTTTTCCCACGCTTTGAACCATGCAGATTAATAGAAGGTGCAGCTTTTCTGTTGATTTTTTTCCTAACCGCCAGAGAAGGAAGTCAAAGTTGGAAATGAATGAAATGAGGGGCTAATTTTCATTTAGCATAAGAAGATGCTTAGTAGCGGGCACGGCAAAGAACAAATGTCCTGAATTTGCACATTCTGACATTTATTTGCAGCATTAAAGCTGCTGAACCAATGAAGAGACTGAGCTCAACTCCTGTAGAGCTGAAATAAAGAGCTGATGAAGCTCCATCTTTCATTAGAAGCTCTTACTGCTGTGAACCAACAAGCTAACACGAGCTAGCATTCTTCTTTGTCCATACTGCAGGGGCTATATGTAGAGCTCCCCCTACGGGTTTGGTGGGAGACAGTTCATTAACGGCTTATAGCCCAGTGGAGCTTATTACCCCATTTATACTACCCTTGAAAAACCGTGCCGAGACCGGTCCTAGCTCAGTAACTAAGATAACTTATCGTGTGTAAATAAAAAAGCAAACTGAACTGAACCGAGCTAGATACAACCAAACCGAGCTAACTGCAGACCAGTTCCAGAGGTGGGCTCGGCTCGGTTTTTCCCCGGCTCGGTTCTCTGATAACAAGAGCGCATGAGCAGAACGCATCATCTCCGTCTGGCTGCACATCGCGATTCACACTCCATTCCAGTAGTTGGCGCTAATGCCCCTCCAGAAGTTGCTAGCCAACCAACACAAAACAGAAGAAGAAGAACAACTATAAACAACAATCGAAAGCCGACTTTCTCAAGTCAATCCACAAAAGGTTGCCGTCTTCGCCTGACCCTCCGCAAACACCGAAGTACGGCAATAATAATCAAGCATAACTTTCTGAAGGTGACGGGCGCCGCCATTTTGATTTGCTTGATTCCCTCCTTCTACGTCTTCTTCTTCTTGTGTTTTATGGCGGTTGGCAAACAACTTTTGGTGCATTACCGCCACCAACTGCTTGATTTCCTCCTTCAATACTGGCAGTAATACCGCAGATCGTCACTAGGAGGCGAGGAGTCGAGGAACCGAGATAGCCTGGCTAACTGATCCGAGCTTGGACCGGCCTCGGCATGGATCGGTTTTTCAAGGGTAGTGTAAATGGGGTATATATATGTGAATTTTGTGGGCAAGGATTATAGTGATGTGTGCTCTATAGTCTGAAAAATAATGTTATAACCTTTTTTAAAGGTTTGACGGGTTAAAAAGCTAACTGTCAAAGCATGTGTCGAATCTTAGCTAACTACGGTTGTGTTCAGAACCCTACTTTTTAGCAGACTGATTTAATCAATTACGTTTTTCTTTAAATCCATTTTTACAGATCCCCTCCATAGGTATGGGTGCTCTGTGCTGGAAAAAAATACAATTTGGGAGGAAAAATGGCCACCTGTAAAAATATAGTTTGAACTTTTACATACACTTAATAAATGACTCTCAAAACATTTTTCTTTTTTTTGAAGTTCCACTTTTAACATTTTTTTTTTNGTTTTTCAAGGGTAGTGTAAATGGGGTATATATATGTGAATTTTGTGGGCAAGGATTATAGTGATGTGTGCTCTATAGTCTGAAAAATAATGTTATAACCTTTTTTAAAGGTTTGACGGGTTAAAAAGCTAACTGTCAAAGCATGTGTCGAATCTTAGCTAACTACGGTTGTGTTCAGAACCCTACTTTTTAGCAGACTGATTTAATCAATTACGTTTTTCTTTAAATCCATTTTTACAGATCCCCTCCATAGGTATGGGTGCTCTGTGCTGGAAAAAAATACAATTTGGGAGGAAAAATGGCCACCTGTAAAAATATAGTTTGAACTTTTACATACACTTAATAAATGACTCTCAAAACATTTTTCTTTTTTTTGAAGTTCCACTTTTAACATTTTTTTTTTTTTTTTTCAAATTTCCATTTTTGACTTGTTTTTTTAATTTATTTTAGTTTGCTTTGGGTTTTTTTTTTTTTCAGATAATTTTTTTTTAAATGTATTTACGCTTTTATGGGAAGTTTTACAAAGTGCATTCTTTTCTAATTATAATTGACAGATTTCACCCTTTTCACCTCTGGGTGGAATTCAGAAAAATTAACGCCATTAAAAAGTTGTGCAAAAACGGAAAACAAAAATCTGGGGGGGGAAAAGATTTAAAAAATAAAATCTGTGGGGGAAAAAAAAAAATACATTTTTGAAAACCTAAAAGAAAAACTATAAAATTGCCCCCTGTGAAAATAGTGGAAACATCTATATTTTGCTACACATTATAAATGAATCTCCAAGCATTTTATTTTCACTTTTGAAACAGCTTTTTTTTATCATTAACTTCTTTGAATCATGTTGTTTGCTTTTAGTGATATTAGAACAATGCTGTAGGTCCCAAGTTGTAATAAATATCGATTGAAAGTGACATCAAATTCGCATTGGTTTCCACTTTAGTCACGTTTTAAAGGACCAGATACGAGTGGGATTATGGACCAAGTATGAGATTGAGACTCAAATCGAACTTGAAAAGATGAAATTTGGACCCAATCTGTGTTGTTTCTTAAATGTCTGATCTGCTCACCTGACTCCAAACGATTTACATCTGGTTCACATCTGCATGGAGTGGAAATGGGGCCTCGTGTTCCTCTCAGTCTGTCCATTCCTCCAGGTGTGAAACGTTTTTTTAGGCTAAAAAATAAGTAAACTAGTGTTTTCTATTTTTCCACATCACAAAGTAAGTATTAAAAGTATTGCATAATAAAGGCTGTAATCATATTGATTCAATGTTGCAATATCAGCATCGTCTTGGAAATGATAAAGTTGTATCAGGACACCTCTGCTTTGTGTTTTTTTTTTTTTTTTTTACAGGTGTAGAACGCGTCTTCTCTTTAACCCTTTAAAGCCTGAACCTTGAAATAATTGTCAGAACATTCTAGTTTTCCAAAATTAGAATTGTCATTGAACTTTCTGACAAATTAAATAAAAATATACATTTTCTATACATTTAATTAAAGCATTTTTGCATCACTTTTGATACATTATAAATTTCTATATAATCTTTCATATGTTTTCTGTTCACTACATGTGTCTGATTATGTAAAGCAGGGTTTTAAGAACACAAACATCAACACTGATGATGCAGAGGTTTCAAAAACTCAGGTATCAAATATGATACACCTGGCTTTAAAGGGTTAATTGACCTTCAGTTCTAAGCCCCTACTGCAGGGCTTGTTATAATTTAAGATTTAATGATTTAAGTCAGGATAAATAACATTCTCCATTACTTATTTTGTTCCTAAATAAGAGGAAACACTTGTGAAAATACACTATTTATACAAAAATCATGTGATGGATTTGTTCCAACCTCTTCAGCTGTTTTAGATGAGTTCTGACTTGGAAGAAGATGGAGGCCTGAGATAAACTTCATGTTGTATTTTAAGCAGCTTTGATTCCAGTATTAAAACCTTCCTTAAATTAAGCCGATAAAAAAACAGCATCAAAGTGTCTTTGTTTTAGGTTTTTGTTACCAGAAAAGTATGAATATTAACGAGCTTTGATTTGTTTGTTTTCTTCCTCCTGCCTTCCCTGCATCGCTCTGTATGTTTAGCCGACTCCCATTGGGCCCGTGGCGACTGAAACCCAGCTGCCGGCGAGCAACCGAGAGAAAGCGCCTCAAACCAAAAACCAGGTACAGATTCATGCAAACTAATGTGATACAGGGTTGGCCTGTAAGGTCTCAGCTATTCACAAACTTTTGTTGTTTTTTCTTTTTTGGTTGTATTAACATATGCAACCTTTTTATGTACACTTTGCTTAAAATGCTTGGCAACATTTTTTCATCCTTTCTCTTAGCTTCTGTTAATTATCTGATTTTTTTGGGGGGGGGGCTTGCTTTTAGTTTAATTTCACCAATAAGATTTTTGGATGATGTCAAGTTTTACAGAACCAAGTATTTAATCATTTCCGTAATATGACTCTGTTCTAAGATATTAGTGAGTTAACGCCTTGCTAGTCACAACGTTCACTAAAAAAGGAGTTTTAGTTTCCAAAGTCTTTTCTTTAGCATGTTAGCGAAAATGAAAACCTTCCTGGAGAAGTGTAGGGGGTTAAGTGCTGCAGCTCAGTCACTGGTTCGCAAAGCTTACATTTTTTTTATTTTATTATTGCAGTTTCCATTTAATAAACTTATTTTCTTAATTATATTCAAAAAACAGTTAAAAAAACAAAACACTAGACTTTGTTTCCAAGTTTGAAGATGTTTTGCCCCCCCTTTCAGAGATATATACAGGTATGGGGCATTGTAGGCTGACAAAGAAGCCATACGACCCCTATTCCAAATTGCACAAAAAAAAACTTTGTTTTTGGTCTATAAAGCTTCAACGCTATTTCTGGCATTTTGAATTGAAAAAGCTTCCTGGATGGGAAGCAAAACGTCTTTAAACTTGGAAACAAAGTCAAATGGATTGTTTTTTTTTTTACTGTTTTGGAATGAGTAGGACCTGGATGACTGAGAATCTTCACCATTCTTAATTACAATTTTCCCAGTTTGATACTGAATGGAAAGGCAGCTATTTACAAACGGGCTACCAACATTTTTATCAAACAAACAGACAACCTTAATTACCTGTTTGAAAGACATTATTTCAGCCTGAAATTGTTCTTTAGAGTTCCGGCTTGCTCAGTTAAAGCTGTTTTCGTTGCACTACTGCCATCTACAGGTGATATTAGGTACAGCAATTCAATGCTTGTCACTAACTGGGTTAAGTGTAAAACAGAGCTAACTTTGTAATTTACTGGGAGTATTTTCCATGAGTGAAAGGCGATAATTCCTGGTTATACTCTGAATGTAGTCCCAATAAAATACGGTGACTTAAAGTCATAGGGAAGCCATATTTAAATTTCAAATCATTCTAGCTTAAACGTGTAAATAAATGTACTCTTTATCAGACCATATTGTCCCAAAAGTTAGAAAATTTCTATTAAAAAAAAAAAATCCCGTCTTAAAATATGTGTTGTTTTTTCCGTTATCTTCTGCAGGCCAGTTAGTTCTACATCAGCCTGAACACCTAAATTCGGCCAATCATACATCAACGGTCATCTGTCAATCAAATATTTTCGGTTATAGCATCTTGATTCATATGTCGCAGCTAATATACGCAACGGTCAAACATGTACAGCTTTAAACCATGCTTCTGGCGTCCTCTTCCACAACATCTTTGTCCCCGCTTTCCTCCTCTAAATAAAAAATGGATGACGGAGGAGACTCATCCACGACCTCCGACACTAAACTCTCCTCCTCTTGCATGTTTCCGCTGTCCATAGCGTTCCTTGACAGTGTCGTTTTATTATTATTATACCTTTATTTTTAGAGCAAAGTCATTAAGAACACGTTATTTTCAATGGCGGCCTGAAAAGTTGAGTAACCACTCAGGAAAAGGGAAGCAGGGCTAAAATAATACATTAGTAATGCATACATAACATACAATTTAAAACACAACGGCCCAAAAATGACTATGTAGAGAAGAAGCTGCAAGTTATTGTAAACAAGGATGAAATGATTGTCTTGAAGGATGAAATTGGAATTAGTCCATCCAGTTTTAGAACATTTTGCATAGCGTTCCAGTTACAAGCAGCAGGAGATTGAAAAGAAGCAAGACCAAAGGCAGTGTTGGTTTTGGGAATAAGTAATTGCAGATGAAGTGAGGACCGGGTGTGACAGGCTTTGGCTGCAGCAGGGAACCTAAATAAGATGTTGAGCGGCGGGAAAGGTTCTTATAAATGAATATGAACCAGTGATTTTTGCTTCGATTGTGAAGGGAGGGCCAGTTGACAGATGAATACAGGGCGCAGGGGTCTGTATTGAAAGGAGCATTTACAGCAAACTTGAGTGGTGAACTGTCAAGTTTTGATAGAGTGGACTTGCAAACAACCCTATATATAGTGTCTCCATAGTCTAATATGGGTAGAATGGTCATTCGGGTAAGAAAACAGGGGATTGGGAATGATTCCATTTGTTAAGGGTGCACAAGTTACCAAAAACGGCCACTTTCCCTATGAAGTGTAAAA